GAGATGCAATGGTAAGTAAAATTTTCTTCACTTTTAGAGAAAAAGTATGCATACACTAAATGGGGGAAAATGTAAATATGATCCTGGTGAAAGGTATTAAACTAATTAATATTAATAAATAAAAAAGGTGTCTTCCATTTTCAACGGTCTATTAATTAATTAGAAAGTGTTTGCTTGCTAAAACTACAACTCTTTGGCCAAGTTATCTTTACCACTTCACTTAATTGCTGTTACTGCCACTTTGGCTTTTACATGTATTTTTTCTGATGCAATCTTGTCACCAGTCTGGATGAGTGCGCCGAGGCATGAGACACAACGGCAATAACAAATGTTGCCTTCTCATTCTAACTCTCTATAACCCAGCGATGGATAACAAAAATGAACTAACAAGTATTCAAGTACGAAATATGTTCGACTTTTTAGGCCAAAATATTACTACGAAAATAGGTTTGTTCGTCGAGCAAAAAATTTGTACGAATTTGTACGAATTATCACGATTTTTGCCCAAATCGCGTTCGTGCAGACCAAAAAATTATCCAACACTCAAAAATTGTGAGAGCAAAGTGACAGTTCTCTTGGAGAGAAGTTGCAAATTCTTGCTGGAAAAAATTTTGCCAGCAAGAATTTGCAAACACGAAAAACATGTGGTTGTGGCGCATGGTTGCATTTTTGTCTACAATAATTTGAATAAATTAGTTCGTTAAATTTAAAAATTTATAAACACGAGCGATTTTTTTATGAAAAAAGGAAGTAAATAATTGTTGAAATAATTAATTTAGTTAATTCCAATGATTTGAACTTAATTCGGCTGAAAAAAATGGTATTCGCAATCGGAATGCAATTGCAACCAGAGTCGATTTAAGAAACCCGACAGCTAGTACGATGAAGAAATTGAAATGTATGTCAAAGAAAGTCAGAACAACAAGAAATATACATGTATATCCTGTTTTTGGCCATCCGAAAGAATTTTAAAAATTCTATAAAAATTGTTTATGTTTGAAATGCAACCGTGGACGCCAGCTGGCAGCGAAACTTGCAAATTCCTGCAAATTTGCGTTCGTGCAGAAATTTGCAAGTTTCCCATTTTAGCCGTTTTCCGGCTAGATTTAGCCGGTTTTGATAGCAACTAGCCGGAGAAAATTTGATCTAGCCGGCAGCCGATTTGTTAGCCGGTTTGTAAAAAAAAGTTAGCCGTTTTTAGCCGATTTTACTATTTACCTAATTTTCAGGTGCAAAAAGTAAACAAGTTTTTCGAAAGCAATAATGCAGACCCAATGAAGATTTTTAATGAACTCAATGTTTTACTTTCTCATCTATGCTGCCTAGTGGTTATTAGCGCGGACACATTTGATCCTATATGCTCCCCGTTGGAACCATACCTTGCTCCATTTCCTCAGTTTTATCACAGTTTTGAAGAGAATTAAAAACAAAAGTAAGCACAAACGCTTTTGACCACGAAGCCGAGAAAATAATTCGAGAAAATGGTCGCTATTTTATTATCACTTTAATAAAGGAAATACGCCAACGCCTCCCTACAAATATTGCCAAACTAAAAAAAATGACTTTTTTCGGTTGGAAATGCATTAAGAGTAATTAAACCAAAAGTATTTGTTCAACTACAGCAACAAAAACACAAATATAATGCCGACAAAAAAACATCCATAGAGATGCAATGGCAACGGTTAACGTTACATACCTGGAGTAATTTAGACTCAACTGTAAAATTTTGGGCCGAAGTTTATCAATTTCGAAATGCCCTAGGAGAAAACCCTTTTGCTGACCTTTGCAACCTAGTTTTCTTGTTTTCCCTATAAGTAATGCAGAAGTAGAGCGAATATTTAGTTCAATGAATATAATAAAAACTAAGCAAAGAAATCCAATGTGCGTTAAAACGTTAAACGCTATTTTATATATAAGATACGGTTTAAAACGTGAAGAAAAATGCTGCCATAATTTTACTGTAGATGACGATCTCTTAAAATTAATGAATTCAGGTGATATATACAATAGTGATTCATTTGATGATGAGGAATATACACTCGATATAAATTAATGGTGTTAACTAGTCTTTCGTTTCTTGCGATTTATTTAAATAAAGCATGTGGATTTTCACTAAAACATTTTAGCCGTTTTTTGCCAGAGTCTATGTGAAATTTCACTAAAACATTTTAGCCGTTTTTAGCCGCTTTTTTTTGCCAATCTAGCCGGTCGGCCCAAAAAGTTCTGGCAACACTGAACATGAGAGAGAATTTGAGAGCATTTCTTCTTACTCTCTGATATTTTGAGTGTTGGATAATTCTTGCTGGATTTTCGACGAACAAACTTATAGTTATGTTAAAGGAACAAATGGAAAAATGTTGTTATTTATCGTATTTTAAAAACTTATTTAAAGTAAGATATCTTCTTTTATTTGAAGCGCCGCATTTCATCCAGCAATCTGGAAGATGTACTGACCGACAATGGCGACTACTTCATTGAAGTCACCGTGGCAGAACCACAAAAAGTCGGCGATGGAATTGGTTCATACCTAACATACAAGTTTGTATTATTTAAAGACAAATATAGTATAGCGTTTACCTTTATAGAGACAGACATGGACCTCATTTTTTAACCCAATCGAAGACTGTTTTTATTAACTCTGTAAGGAAACAAACATGTTTGATAGGCCATCTCTATATTAAGGTAACGATATGTATGTACATGTATTAATAAATACGTTTTCCCCTAGAGTGACAACGAAAACAAACATTCCAAAATTCAAGCGCACTGAGTTTAGTACGATGAGACGATTTAGCGACTTTTTAGGAATACATGATGTCTTAGCTGCAAAATATACAAGACTTGGTAGAATCATCCCGCCAGCGCCATCTAAAAATATTTTAGGTACGTAATGACTATTATTTTTTTTTTACCATTTTCACTAAAGCTGGTGTATAAAACATTGTTATTCTGTTACATAATGTTTTTGTACAGGGAGCACTAAAGTGAAAATGAGTCCACAACAAACGGAGCCCGGTGCACCCCGAAATGCTGAATGGGTCGAAACACGCCGCGCAGCTTTACAACGCTATGTGAATCGCACTGCCCAACATCCAGTACTGCGCGTTGATCTCGATTTCATCAACTTTTTAGAAAGTGATCAAGTAAATCTATCTAACTTGCAATTAAAATGCTTATTATAAGCTATTTTATTTAATCGAAGGAACTTCCTCGCGCAGTTAATACAGCAACGCTGAGTGGTGCTGGCGTAATGCGTCTTTTCAATAAAGTTGGCGAAACAGTAAATAAAATTACATATAAAATGGATGAAAGCGATGCTGTGAGCAGAAATACTGTGAAAATTACCGCCAATTTCTCAATTTATTAAACACTTTCTTAATTTTAGTGGTTCGATGAAAAAATCACTGAGGTGGAAAATTTAGATGCAAATCTACAAAAACTACATTCAGCGCTCAAATCGCTTGTTATTATACGCAAAGAGTTGTCCGCCCTTACCGGGTTGGTCGCAAAGTCCGCGGCCATGTTGAGTACATGTGAAGAACACACCGGCCTTTCTCGAGCGCTCTCCAATTTAGCTGATGTAGAAGAAAAAATCGAATTACTACGGTCAGAGCAGGCTAACTCTGACTTTTTTATAATGGCGGAATTCGTAAAGGATTATATCGATCTATTCAGCGCTGTTAAATCTGTATTTCATGAACGTGTTAAGGTGTTTCAAAACTGGCAACACGCACAATTGCAATTGTCGAAACGACGTGAAAACCGGGGGCGTTACGAACTGACCAACCATACTGACAAGTTGGAACAGGCGCAACAGGAAGTCGAAGAGGTTTGCAATAAAACTTTTAGTATAACTTAATTTTATTACGTGTGTATTTTCAAATTTGTAGTGGCAAACCAAAGTTCAGCGATGCCAACAGCAGTTTGACGACATATCGGCGGAAATTAAAAAAGAAATGGAACGATTTGAAATAAACCGAGTACGTGAGTTCAAAATTAATACCATGAAATACATTGAAGATCAAATGGCGCATCAACAACAGGTAATTTCAACCAAAGCATAATTTGAATTAACTATATAAATATGTATATATTTTTCTATTTACCAGATTATTTCGTACTGGGAAGCTTTTATACCGACTGCACGAGAAATTGTTTAAATAAGTACAGATGTGTACTCTATTAAAACCATTGAAGTGCTAAAACGCAGAATTCTTTATATTAAACCTAATTATGTATGTATAAATAACCAGCACGCTTTATGCTTGGTTAAGGCGCACTCTATCGTCCCATAGTCGCCTCCTGTGGTGCGCCGTAATGATTGCTTGTAACACAAAGGAAAAAAATAAATATGGGCATTCTGCGTATCTACGTTCCATAATATATTTTCTATTTAAATTATAAATACTTTTTATTTTTGTAAAGTATTCAAAGTTTTCTCATTTGTTAACTACAGCATACATAGACGTTAATAATTACGTTTATATAGGGTATTATTGATTGAAGTGTATTATCGGCCCTTTTTTTTTTAAAGATATACTAAAATTCCGAATATACAAAATATTGTAATACCCCAGCGTAATGATAAAAGTGTTGATTTATGTACATATGATGTACCTATGTATTTAAAAAAATATTTTGAAATTTGTAATTGAATGTAATATTATTGTAAATAAGAATGCGATTCAAATAGATGACTATTATGATGGGGGTAACAATGGGAAAAATACCTATAATTTTCCTTCTTTTTATTTTGGTAAAATTACGTTATTGAACGAAAACCTAATTATTAAAAAAAATATATATATTGAAAACACTTGGACCCTTCGGCCGTTGATAAGAATACTTTTTATACACGTTGATCGAAAATGTAACTTTGGTTTTACCGGCCGTCTTCACATGCTTGAAAATCTCGCTTGCGTTCTGCTTTTTTCTCGCGCAAGCGAGATATAGTTTTGTTGACTGGGCATTTGACCACGATCCAGAAAATAAAGGTCACGCCATTCGCGGACCGCTAACCCTCTCTTCGTCGATTTCATAACATCCACCCAATCGCTGACGTCATAAAATACTTTTGTTTACATTCACTGTTGCAAATTTAGTGGGTATTCAAAACGCGAAAATTTTTGAGTTTTGTGCTTGGTGCGTTTTTGCTGCTTTTGTTTTTAGTTTGAATACATCAAATTAGAAAATCTTAATAAAATGGAAGCAAAATTTATAGTAATCGTAAGTGTGGTAAGCAATTTTACAAAAATTTAAAGAAAATCATGGCACAGTGAGGATCATAAGCGATAACGAAACATGTGGAGCACCTTCAATCATGCCAGAAGAAATCGACCGTTGTGCAAGAAACATTGATTTTTATTAATTTGAATTGGCATCCTTACAATAAAACTATGTATTCATATAAAGTCCATAAAATACACCAATAAAAATTTGGTGCTTTTTCAAATTCAAAACTTGGCAATACTGCCTTTTGTTCTATGCTTCCTCTTTTTCTTGTCGAGTTCGTCTTGCTCTCTCATTCGGGTATATTTTGACGTCACGGATAGTTGCTCTCAGCTCGATTGGCGCAATCTTGTATTCTATTGTGGCGAATACTGCGGCAACACAAAGCGAACAACGAGAAATAGGCAGAATGTTCGAGGAATGACGTAGAATGTTACACAAAGAGAAACGTCAAGTTGGATGAACACTGCGAACAGCGAGAGAAAGAGAATGAGCGATAAACTTCAGAATGTTCTAGAGTTGCCATAAGTGCCAGCGCAGGTATATAAGGGCGCCGCCACAGCGAAGTGGAGACAGTTACAAGTCAGCAAGCTACAAGTAAAGTGAGCGGAGAATTGAGTTGCGAATAAGCAAGCTATAAGTTTAATTGTGTTAACAAGTAGTAAAGCGTTGTTATTGCTTTAACAAGTATTGTAAAGTGTTTTTACTGTATTAGCAAGTATTG